TCCTCTGCGAGACTGCCTTTCAGACCGTCTGGTTTAAATCTATGTTTCGATCACAGAAGGAGAGGAATGGAGGGAGGATAGAAGGAAATTATTAGATGTTATCTCATTGTATTGTTTTGTTACAGAGGGAAAGTCAAACCTTAAATCCAAAGTATACAAGGGCTAAAAGGGTGATTCTCAGAAATCAAGTCTGCAAGACAATTGTTCCCTTTGTCACGTGGACTAGTTGATTTGATCCTTTTAATATGGTTCGGGCTCATCAGATTAGTAGTGTCCCCTCTGAGTAACTTAAAACAGAACGAACACAAAGAGAGTCACAGACAGAGAAACGTTTCAGTGATTAGATGGAGCTGACAGGCTGCCTAAAGCAAAATTCAAGCATCGATTCTACCAGAGGGCCTTTTGTAAGTCCTTCGGAGGTCGATGGTCCTTTTGATTACAAAGCATCAGGCTGACAGGAAAGTATACAAGTTTGGCCTCAGCCAAGTGCAAAAGGCAGGCTGGCAGCAGTCAGAAAACAGGCAGCAGAAAACACGCAAAAGAGTGAGTATCCAAATCACAGAGAGGATTTGCAGTTAATTCTCTTTAAAGCCTGCCAAGTCATTTGCATTACAGTGTTGTCATCTAAAGATACAACCACCATAAGGAATACAAGAGTAGTCTACGATGAGATGTTTTTCTATGAAGGCTCTCCATGCTTACTGTCCAGGCATCCACATCTCGCATCGAACCTTATTCTTCTTTCAGGAAACAAAAATTTTGTTAATGACCCAAATGGGGCTGAAATTAAAGAAAAGGCTAATGACAAATTAAATGGATCACACAGAGTAGGTCCAGTAAACAAAAATCACCAGGTTTTTACAGTTACTTTCTTTCCAGAGCATTCAAAGAATTCAAGAATACAGTGAGATTAAAAATACAGAGGAAAAGCAAAAATATATGAATCAGGGTCATTTCCATGCAGCATACAGTTCTGCCATAGAATGCAGGGCAGGAGCTCTACCCTGCATTGCTATAAGGGAAAATGTGACGGCTACTGATGAGAACATAAAAGACCAAGACATTCTTTACCTAACTAATAACTTACTTCCTTTATTTAATTGATAATAAGAACAGACTAGACTATTTCAGTTGGAAGGGACCTACAAGGATCATCTAAGTCCAACTGTCTGACCACTTCGGGGCTGACCACAAGTTAAACCCTGTTATTAAGGGCTTTGTCCAAACACCTCTTGAACACCGACAGGCTTGGGGCATTGACCACCTCTCCAGGAAGCCTGTTCCAGGGTTGGACCACCCTCTCTGTAAAGAAATGTTTCCTCATGTCCAGTCTGAACCTCCCCTGCCTGACGCAGCTTTGAACCATTCCCACGCATCCCGTCACTGGATACCAGCGAGAAGAGATCAGCACCTCCCTCTCCACATCCCCTCCTCAGGAAGATGCAGAGAGCAACGAGGTCACCCTTCAGCCCCCTTCTCTCCAAACAAGACAAGCCCAGAGCCCTCAGCTGCTCCCCATAGGCCAGGCCTGCCAGCCCTTCACCAGCTCCATTGCCCTCCTCCAGACACACTCAAGGACCTGAACATCCTTCTGAAATGGTGGGGCCCAGCACCGCACACAGCACTCGAGGTGAGGCTGCACCAAGGCTGAACACAGAAGGACAATCCCCTCTCCTGCCCGGCTGGTTGTGCTGGGTTTGATGCACCCCAGGATGGGGTTTGCCCTCTGGGCTGCCAGGGCTCACTGCTCGCCCCTGCTGAGCCGCTGCCGACCAGCGCGCCCAGATCCCTCTCTGCAGGGCTGTTTGCCAGCCACTCCTCTCCCCATTTATATTTGTGCCTGGCATTACTCCATCCTAAGTGCAGAATCTGTCATTTGGATTTGTTAAATTTCATCCCATTAACCATTGCCCAATGCTCCAACCGATCTATATCCCTCTGCAAGACCTCTTGTCCTTTCAGAGTCAACAGCACCTCCCAGTTTAGTATGTCAGCAAACTTGCTAATGGAGCATTCAAGTCCTGCATCCAGATCATTGGTAGAAATATTGAAGAGCACTGGCCCAAGGATTGAGCCCTGAGGAACACCACTGGTGACGGACTGGTCACCAGCCAGATGTAGCCCCATTCAGTACAACCCTTTGAGCCCTGCCATTCGGCCAATTCTTCACCCGGTGCACCGTGTAACTGCTCATCCCACAGTTAGACAACTTGTCCACAAGGATGCTGTGAGGGACACTATCAAAAGCCTTGCTAAAATCCAGAGAAACTAAATCAACCAGGTACATGACCTTATCGCAGAAGGATATCAGATTAATAATGAAGCATGTGCCCTCTTTTGTTCTGGAAACAGAGACAAGCAGGAGATGCTTACACAGGACTGAAATTTATTTCAAAGCAGAATATCCTACCCTAATAAAAAAAAAAATTCATGGAGGTGTTAGTAACCACAGAGAACTAGAACAGTTGTTTTATGTGTTATTGGGCTCAGCCTAGCAATAATTGGCTAAAATACTATTTGCCTATACTGAAGATCAAAGCAGAGTCACCTTTCTGGCCTTCGTCTGAAAGAAGGTACCTTCAGCATCCCACTGTGCTCTGTCATAGTCTCTATTTTGATAGTGGTCCAAAAAAAAAAAAAAAGAGTAAAACTGAGAAGACCTCCAGGATGATACAACTTGCTTTTCAATTCAAGAACAAACTAAGTTCCTTCCCAAATTGTGAAATCCACAGCACTTGCATGATCCTCACAGATGCAGGTGACACTTCTTTCTCAAGAAGTGTCACTTTTACAGATCTATATAATAAAGTAATACTTTTTTTTTTTTAGACAACGAAACAATCTGCACTCCAAAATTCCTGTTGCCTATGCTGCTTTATTAAAGTGCAAGTATCAAAAGAGTGACAGCATAATGTGCTGGACTCATGAGATTTAACTGGTACAGAGTAACAGATTTTGAAAGCTGTGTTGTATTATAAATCTTAGATTTCCCCAGCGAATTATCTGACCATACATGTAATGAGTCTGTTTCTTGAATCAAAAACATGTATCCACATGTCCTACGGAAAATCCAATATCATCATTAGCAATAAATAGAATTTAATAAATATGCACAAACTCCATGTCTGGAAATCTACCAAAATGTCTCGCTAGACCCTTCCCTTCTAGCCAAGTAGCCGTTTTTGTGAATCTGAACTTAAACTTACAGTTGTAAGTCCTACTGCATAATTGTTGCTGCAATTCCTGAGTCATTACGTAACTGTGTCTTACAAGCTTGACCTTATTCCTTTGTCAGTAAACTATAAAATTGTTCAAGTCAGTGGGAATGGATTTTAACCGTTTGTTATTTGTAGTGCTATGGCTTGTAGTATTATTTTTATTGTATTGCTTGAATTTAGTTTGTCATGCATTGCTCCGCCCAGACTCACCCCATTAAGTTCAGAAACTTAGACGAGATGCCTAAATTGGGAGCAAAGCGCCATAAGCTTCCCAAATGTGTAAGAGGGAAACAGGTATGTCTACCTAGAAAACATCTAACCTACCTTCTGAACAAAACTCTCCCTAAATTGGGAAAGGGAGAGCTTTTTAGGGAGTTTATTAGTTTGTGGCAATGTTTGTATTGTTTCTCTGCTGAAGAGCAGGTAGCAAATTTTGAACAAAATGGTTATGCAGATTAATTGCTAGAAAAATCAACATCAGACTTGCATATGCCTGTAAAGGTATGCAGAAATATCTCTATAAAGGAAATAATTAGAAAGTCTTCCTGCTCTTATTTTGCACCAGATTTGTCAAATATCTAAACTACAGATCGTTATATTTCTACGGGTATTTCTAGTAAAAAACCCAAGCATAACAGCCAGTAAGAATTAATAACTGCAGTCCATTTACCATTGGGTTAGCAGGAAATAAATGGCATCTTACTATTGTTCTTTTGCTATGGAGTTTATTGGTGCATTTATGCAGCTCTTTCATTTGCATATTTGTGAAGAGCACTGCTGCATGAAATGTAAATGGGCTGTATATGAAATTTAAAACTTCCCAATGATAAAATGTCTCAACAGTCTTTTCATCAGAACTGCCAAAAAACTTTGAAGTCCGTGTTTGTTTTTAAATCAAAACACCGCTATTTTTATTCAAGCACAGGGAGCAGGAACAGTTCAGCTACACTTGCATGTCAGTTTATTCGAAGAGGGTATTTACTAACTCACTGACATCCCATTGCCTCAACAAACAAGGAGACAGTCCTACACGTTGCCCTCCACACTTCTTTGTTTACCTCTCCTCCAACTGGTGCCCTGCCTTTGGACAAGCTCCCTTTCCACACATCACATGCTGTAAACATGGGAACAGAGCGAAAAGGGAGCTTTTGAGTACCTCCTCCTGCATTTTATTGTGACTCCATCTGAAAGTAATCAGGACCAGTAATGCCATCCTTGACCACAGCACTTCATAACTGGCATTATTCTATCAGGAGGTGGGTGTTCAGCTGCAATGGTCATTGCACTCCTGGAAGATGGCTTTCAAGGTAGGCCTCACACCACGACACTGGAGAAGGTACAAGACCTAGACTATTCTCATATCCCCTTCTTCACATCATCTTCACACCAAACACCCTCAGCTGTCCCATACATTTTAGACACCATTTTCTGTTTGCAGGTTGGTGTGCCCCTGACATAGCAATCAAGATGAAGACCTTGTCAAGAAAATCCACTGTACAGGCAAATCTGAAATAAGCTCACAGTCTACATCAGCCACAGCCAGATGGGGAAAGATGGAGGGAAGGAAGGAAGAACAAGGTAACAAAAATAACTTCAGCAGAGAAGCAGGAGCTCAGACAGCTCTGCTTCTAGCAAAACAAATGTGGCACACATCCTTTCACAAACAAAACGATGGACACAAACAAACTGGAACTGCAAGTACAGTCCATGACATTCTGTTCTCACTCAGGTCAAATCTTCACCATAACAGGATTTTACCCATTCAATATTTATATTTGTTACCTTCTCATAAGCTTTTCTTTTTGTTTCAGAGTCCATCCAGTCATTTTCCTTTTCCAACATGTCAATAAAAGCCCAGCGAATTCCTTCAGTCAACTCCTCCATCTGCAAAACATTTCGCAAACCCTTCCCCAGTAAAATATGTCACGGCAGAATCACTATAAGAAAAGGTTTGGTGCATGCAGGAGTGATGGATTTGGTTAGACCATGAATGATTCCAAATCAGACAGTATCTGCTCTTTTTTCTTGAAGGCTAATTTCTTCTTTCTCCAGTCCCCAGACACTTCTTTCAAAATAAGTTTCTTTCCATTTTGTTTTCCTTCAGGTATAACACACCACCTGTTCATTGCTGATCCTTTCAGGTCACAATTGTGAGAATGTCTGTCTTGAAATGATAAAAATTACTGGGAGATTTGCAGTGGTTTGGGGAGATTTCTGACACTTGGGTTCTAGAACACTAGCCCATGCAGAAGGAGCCAGCTGAAGGCATTTGGACAAATAAAGCCTTTTCTGCAGAGAGGGCATCTGTAGCCTTGTTTGGTTTATGTCAGACAGACACATCTTATCAATACTGCCAAAGGACTGAATATGGGCTGACAGTATCATGATCCAAACACAAAGCAGTATCCAAATATCTAGCCTGTGTTTAGCTGTATTTGTGAAGTACTCACACCCTTTAGTTCCTGCAGGGAGAAAGGCCATGGCTCACAACACTGAGCAGCCTTAACTGCATCTGTCATCTTGAACCACCACAACAGCTTGCACCTGTGCAAAGCTAGGAAAACTCACAACTCTTTTATAGCTTGGCTGCTTCTTCAGACACCTGTACAAAGCCACGAGCATATCACAAGTCAAAAAACCAAACAACAGGAGTGTTTAGTAAGCATGCACACTAAGAAAACCCTGAAATGCCAGAAAACAAGAAATCTAGTGGCTCAGAGATGCGTTATATGTCTAAAGAGCAGAAATGCTCTCATGGCTAGGCATCCATCTGGCAGCACAGACCAGAAAGGTGTACGCAATCAGTTGCATCTATTGATATCAATGGATGAACCTCATGATGGCCACTGAGAATACTGTGAGTGAAGTAATTCAAGGGATCCAGCCATTGCTTGAGTCCTTTAGCACAGACCAAACCAGAGTTGAGATAGCACAAGACATGACAGATAATCATTACATGAAGATTTATTGGATCTTCATGTTATCAGTTACATCACTTTTAAAAATAATGAAAATGTCAAGTACCAGAGATTTATATAATTTTATTCTATAGATTTAGTAGCTCTGAAATGTCATTAAAACTCAGAACTAAATCCTGGAAAGTAACATTACCTTTAGCTAAATTGCCATTTATGCATCAGATGTATATTTTAATCTGGAACTGTTCTTTATTTGTGGTGGAACGAGACAAAACATGGCAAAACTCCTTTGATTATTCATTTTTTCTTACCCTTTTCAAAAAACATTTTCTTATTTTTAGAGACAATATGGGACAACTGGAACAGGTCTAGCATCAAATATGACTAAACAGTCAACATTCACAGTAAACTGCATTCCAGGGAATAGGGTAACTTGAAGATATTGATGACAGAGCATTGACTCAATTAACTTAGCACACTAATGAGGTGAACTCCCTGTATTTGGAGGTTACAAGTTCAAACTCAAGCTCTGCAGCTGGGCCCTGGTGTATACTTAGGCTTTATGCACCAGCTGTAGCTGCAGGGGGCAGGGGGAGAAACCTATTCCTGCTATCAAAGTTATTACTGAAACTGCTCAGGCATAGCTGTAAGAAACACTGCAGGCTCTCTGGGTTAGGAACAGTGCTATACTTAGACACAAATAATGTCTTTCTTGATAAAAGGAGAGATGTGTCTAAGGTAGGAAACATCAGTCACAAAACATGGGGGAAAAAGAATCCATATTGTCCATAACTCAGGATTTGCTTATCATAGATATATGCCACGAGCCGGGAAAAAAAAAATCTGTACAAATAAAAGTGCTTTTCTCAAGTGCTTTTTTTTACTGCTTGAGAAATAGAACTGAAAACCAGTGAAATGAAAATGATAACACCACAAATTATTAACTTAAGCAGCACACTTCTAAATGGATTGCAACAAATTTCACCTACATCTGATTTAATCTCCATGGGCAGCTCGCTATATGTCCAAATCTTGTGATCTACTCTAAATTTTATATGCATTTCTTAGTATGGATGGTACTGTGAATTGAGACTTGATAATTTTTCAAAGTTTTCATCTGAAAGGAACGTACATGCTAATAAATATTTTAATTCGGTCACATTTCAACAGAAAACCATTCTCTACTCTATCAGCTTCTCACAATTTTCCCTCACATACACAAACATGAAAAAACATCCATCACCTCCATAAAGCCTACATTTCTTACAGTCCTTCTCTTCCCACTTATCCTGCACAGAGGTCATACTGTGTACCCCTGAAATATTTTCACCACTAAACAGCCAAATAGCACATTACACACTCAAACAAGCAGCAAGGAACTGAAAAGCTGGATCTCAGAGAGGAAACTCCAGCTGAAGACAGGTAGCAAAAGAAATGCAGAACCTGAGAGGGAAACACACATCATAAAGATTTGGACAAGCCCAAGCAGAGTGTTGGTCTCTCTGAAGTGGAGTCCTTCCCTGAGAAAACACTTGAACTAGATAAAGTCAAACAAACTCAGGCTACTGAGCCAGGGCAGTGCAGGACTATCACAGAGCTATCGCTCCCACCGCAGGATGCTCTTTCACACACTTCCTAAGCAATCGTCCCTCTCCTGCATCAAGCGCTAAGTTCAATGACTAAATTGGTTAATTTTAAATGGATTGGAAAAATCAATGGCTGGAGAAACAGATGTTGGAAAACCTTATGAGAAAAATATGAACTGAAGTCATAAATTATTGTGAAGTGTTATTAATCATTTCAATACGTTATTAACAGAAGTGATAATGTAGCTATGTTCAAAGTTTTGGAATGAGGATGAATATCCAGCTAAAAGCTCTTTTCTGGTCTCAGTAGTGTGGAAGAATACTTTTTCACCATTAAGCAAAAAAGATTTGAATCACAAGTATAAACTCTCACTATGTGGCTCTAAGCTTCCCTTAATTTGGGCCAGACATCAGCTACACTTTTCTTGTTTAGACTACAGGTGCAGCACAGCTTTAAAAGGGTTGTCCTGAAGCAGAGAAATTTTGACCAGTCTTTTAACCAGTCAGTAAAAACTTTGCTATAATGAGTTACACTAGCTATACTAAACCATTTCTCATCAATACGCCTCTCTCTGTTCCTGCACAGCCTGGCTGTTGCCATTTACACAAATTAACAGTGTTCAGCCTGCTTTTGATCTGGCTACATATTTGTCTGAAAGGCTGCAGATAAAAAGAATGGGCAGTGCCCAGATGGACAGAAAGGTGACACTTCTTCAAATTTGTTCCATTTTCTCCTTTCGGGTTTTTCAGATTTCTTTTTGTGTGTCTGTGTGTGGTGTTTGTTTTTAATTCAATTAAAGCATTTTTAAGAATCTTGTCGCTTTTTATACTTTGGTCTAACATGAGAGTCAATTTGTGAGGAGGAAGCCATTAACTAAGACTTTCCAGACAGAGATCTCGAAGGACTCACCATCTCTTTCTTGTCTTCTTGAAAATGGGCATTCACAAACATCTTACCCACAACGTAAGGAAGTGTGCTTTCAACGAGGTCCACACATTTATCCCACTGAGGTAGCAAAGATGTGGTTCCATGGATCACCTGTTGGCAGGTGCATGTAGTAGGTCAAAACATCACACTACTTATGAAGAACAAGTGTGCATCCACATACAGTGTAGTCTAAAGCATATTTGTCAAACAGCTACCAAAAGGAAACAATAACGATGTTTTACAGTTATTTCTATTTTCATCAAGTGCTATGACAAATCTTTTGAACTCCACAAAATAACTGTAAGATTTTAAACGTAGAAACAGTACAATGGTAATGACTTAGAGAGGCTAGGCTTAGAGTGTTAGTTATGGGAAGACATTCCCCAAGTGCCAACTTTGCGCTAATCTTAGGAGTCTTTCTGTGCTAAGTGGATATACACCTTCCTCTAGAAAATCCCTGCTCTGAGATATCTGCTGAAAAAGTTTCTCTCTCTCCACTGACTAGGTGAGTAGCCTAGGGAGATCACCCCCATGAAAATGAGGTCAATCCTTATGAAACACCTGCTAGCGAGCCCCTGCAGTGCCATGAACTTATCAGTGCTAGCTAATGATGTCCAACATGGGTCAGTACGTGTCCGCACCTTTTTGCCATTTACCTGCCTAGCTACTTTTATCACAGCCTGTATAAAATAAATAGTTGCTTCCAGTTCCTTTCCTCAAACAGAGTATTTTCAGGATGAAACAGGCTTGAATCAAGAACACTGACTACATGTTTGTTCCCCAAAAAGCTCACTCCATGTTATGGTAGAAAGGTATTGATAGAACAGCTTGCATATTTTACTAAAGGAATAGTGGTTAAATACACACTTCCAAGCTCTGATGAGGTCCCTGCACCACCATACATGAGCTTCAAAACAGACATAGTCAAGAAAGGTCAACACACCAATGAACAAGGCAAAATAGAGCTCAAGCACATTGCTGCCTTGGTTTCTGTTTCTCACAGGAAGAATGTTGTTACCGTGGACGCTTACTCAGTTAACATTACATTTCCTCATCAAGGCAGAAGTTAATTTAAAATAAAGTACACACAACAAAATAGGAGATGGGTCCATTTAAGCAATAGCAATGCTGATTTAAGAAACTTTCGTTGTTTTCTGTTGTTACCGTGGACGCTTACTCAGTTAACATTACATTTCCTCATCAAGGCAGAAGTTAATTTAAAAAAAGTACACACAACAAAATACGAGATGGGTCCATTTAAGCAATAGCAGTGCTGATTTAAGAAACTTTAGTTGTTTTCAAGGTTCAAAGTATTCCCTTTCCACTTAAGGAACTTCTTAAGCTTTTCCACAGCATATAAGCAAAATCCCAGTCCAGTAGTTACCACCTGTCAGGTGTGTAAAAGCAGAGTACAGTCAGCACCAGACCAGGTCAGGCAGAATAGGGATTTTGGCCTCTCACAGATTACACAAGCCTCTTAAGCACTGATCTAGCAGTTTCTGAGCCTCTTTTTCCCAGTCTTCTCCTTTGAGCCCAAGATTAAATTTCTAGCAAAACTGAAGGGTTTGGATTTTTTGTTTTCTAACAAGAAAAGGTTTCATTGGAAAATTCCAGAGTAGCTTAACCCTCAGCTATTGAAGGTCAGATATTCTGGTAGTTCAAAGATTGATTTTCTCCATCATATTGTCTGTAATTAAGCTTAATCAATGACTCATACTTAAATACACCAGTGAATTGCATTTTCAAATGCTTTTTATTAATACTGTACGTGCAGTAATCGATTTTCAATGACAGAGAGAACACTGCTTCTGTAAGAAAACCGCATTAGCCAAACTAATACATAATAAGGTAATAGCTTCCAAAACAGAGCCAAATTTGAAAATAAACTCCTTTTCCAAATTCTTCAACCCTCATATATAAACACAGCACTCAAAAGAATTAAAAAGAAAATTTCTCTCCAGGGTCCAAGCAAAACCAAATCGGAGCTTTTTCCTGATGCAGGGGAAGAAGGGGAGTCATGGCATTAGTCATCAGAGCTTGAAATTCCTTCTGAAAGCTCTGACTATGCATCAGCCACAGAAAAAGTCAGGAGACAGAGCTGGCTTTTAGACTGTGACATATTATCATTACAACGTAATAATTATCATTATTTTGGGGGAGGCTTGACTGTAAGGAGGACAGAAAGGCAGCACAGGTTGTGAGATCAATAAAAACAGAGCTGAGAAACAGATCATATCCCACAGCTGGTTTATTGATATTTACGTTACAACAGCCAACTAGAACTCCCTCAAAATAGTCCTCCTAATATTAACGTACCACTCACACACAGTACTCCAGGTAGTAACAGTGACTATAAATAGCAGGTTTCAGGCCCTCCCAGTCAATTCAGAGCTCCACAACACAATTAACTGACCTCTTCCCCAGGTGCCACTGCACATTTGCTAGGACTCAAAGGGCCACTGCAGAGGAGCTGCTGATAGTTGCCAGTGTGGCAATCAAAGCACTTCCTCTAGAGCCAACAGGTTTTGTCCTATGTCTCAACCTGAAGTTTTTTGAAGTTTCATCATGTCTTTTTCCCCCTCTCTTTGCAAAGAGTTTAAGCATCTTGATGCCAAGATTTCTATATGTAAGATGTGAAAGCCACCAACAGGAAATGAGAACCTGGTGAAAAAAATACTATGCTTATGACGGGTGAGGCTGACTGAACTAATGAATGAATGAAAGATATCCTTTCCTTTAAGGGTCACTGATTCTTCTCATGGTCATGTCTTTTTAGTAGTCATTCAATGTTCTCTTCACTTACCTGGCAAGAGGTTGGTGAGTCTTTTCTTTTTGATCCCAAAGGACCTATGCCCCTTTAGTCTTCTGGTCTTTCACTGGAGAAATCTATTCAACAAAGCCTTTGCCTTGGACTCCATTCTCATGTTCTTTCTGCTGATCTGTGAAGTCTGTTCCCCTGAGCTGTCTACATAGCTTAGCTTTAGCTATTAACTATTAGCTGTTGCTGTTCACTGCACTTAACTAACTCTCCATCTCCAGGTCCCAGCTGCAGATAATGGCAATGAGCTGCTGACTCACCACCTTTACTGTGCTGTTCTTAAGTTTCCACAGTCACTTACAGAAAACCCTTGATGACATTGTTAATAAGCATTGAATCAACCTGAATTAGATTTCTCCCTAAGTTTCTGGAGAAAGCACCCAGAGAAGTGACAGCAGCTAGTTACCATATCAAAACACACAGCATCCAAAGCTTAAAGTTTCCTTCCAGGAATTTTTCTGGCTCTAATATAACTCTAACTCAGTATTATGCTGCAGTCTGGCTGATGGCCAGCATCAATCTATTTCACCTGGCTAGCAAGGAATGTCCCAGGAGGGGACACACTTACAAACTTGTTGCTGTGGATCTGACAGCCAGTTTCTCACATTTTTGCATGAAGAAAATGGCATCTTTAACAAGACTGATTTGAATACTCTTTCAGAATGATAAGAGACTGCCTTTCCTGTGTAGTTTCCATCAAGCTATTGGAATTTATTTTTAGGTATGTGATCAACCCAGAAATATTCCAGTACTACTTGAGGAAAGACATTATGGGTGCTTCAATTAGCCACCTGCACGCCTCACCAAGGAGGACAGAGCACCCACACCTCTGGTACCACACCACTGGCAGCATCATGCCAGCATCCTGTTGTCATGATGTCACCAAGCAGCTAATTTTCACAATGACAAACAAAAAGTTCACCATCTGAAGTGGCTTGGAAACAATGAGACAAAGCACTTTTCAGTTTCATCCTTGGTTTACCTGAAGAGCCCTCATGCTGCCCACATGATTATCAGGGTGGCTTTCTATTCAGGGTTCACTTAAACATATGTGTTTTACATAAATGCCCATATTACTTGATAGATAATTATTTCTGCTCTCATAGCTTGGGGCAGTAACTAACATCTTCTGGGGCTTCTGCAATCCCAAGCTGGAAGGCAACTGATTGGCTTCTCTGTGGAAATAGCTGGTGTACAGATGTGCTAGAGCTCATGCAAAGCCAGCACTAAAGCATGAGACAGGTTTTAGCAAGCTTAGAAAAGCTGAAATCTTATACTTCTATTTTACCAGAGCTATATTCATGCATGCGTAAACAGTAGCTCTTTTTCAAAAAGCTTAGATCTTGGCCAAACAGGTTTGGCCTGCACAGGTCGCAGCTCTGGCACATAACTCAGACTTTCCAGCTTTCAAATTTCTGCATAAGAAAACTAAGGTTTTTAAAGGGGAGGTCTCAAACACTCTTTAACATAATCTAAAAGACATTTTTCCTTAGTGTTATATACAAGAATATATATAAAACTTAATTTTATTAGAGGGAGTCTTCAACATAAAAAGTTTATTCAAGAAATTTATCCAGCATGGAAAACATTTCATGTTTTGCAAAGGTATAAGCAACTATAAGGGAAACCAATAACGTCAACACTAGTACCATTATAAATGCTATAAAAATGCTAACTTACCCGAGAAAATTCCAGCCACCGATACTGAAAGCGTCTACTGAGGTTAAATAACCTTGAATAAACCATCCTCCACACCAGATAGTTGGCAAGAGTCCTGTTAAATCAGACATACTTTTATCAGACATCTAAACGCATATGATGTACCACAAAGCACTTACAGAAATATCTCTACAAACATTTCAAATGAATGGTGGAAATTTCATCTTGAAAATTAATGAGTGATGGCCAAGTTGATAAATCCCTATTACACAGAAGAATCTGTATGATCACAGCCAGTTAATATGTGATTGCACCGTGACAACCATTTTCCAGGGGATATTTATAATGAGTCCACCTCCTACTATGCCATTTTTAGGTAATGCTTTTTTCAAAAGGCAGTTTTCATTTTCCATAGAAGTGGCCAGAACTGCGCCATTATAGTAGTTGACTAAAAGTTCTATCCAGAGATTAGAAAATAACTGATTTTTCTTTTGTAAATCAAAGCAAATGTTCTCGCTCCTCATTAGTAGGGCACATAAATCATAACTATGAAACTGAATAGATAACAGTCAATCCCATATATGCTATCATTATCTCATATTTGTATATTTCATTAGAAGTTATCACTATGCTTTTAAAAGTTCTTACTACCCACAGAGTTATTAAAGTATTACCAATCTTATTTTGTCAGGTGGATAATTGAAACACCAAAAAAGGCAAGTCTCAGTAACAAGAATCTTTTAAGAATTGAGGCTTAGAGATCCAGGAAGAACTTGTTTAAAATTGCCAGGAGACCCGATATCCATGCTCCTTTTCTAAAACTTTAAGCACTTGACTGAAGGATTTAGCTAGTCTAGACTGAGCTCTCTCCAGGCTCAGCAGTGGCTGTGAGGTAAAGGTGCATTGTGAAACAGGCAATTCAACTTCAGCCTCAAAACAAGTCCAATAATGGTCTACACATATTATTCTTACCTTGTCTTATATATGACATTTTTCAAGGACAGTCATTGCTCTAAAGTTATGGATATCCAAATGTTGTTTGCACTACACTGGGATATACATAACATTTTGGGCAGACTTCTCCATAGGGAGGAAAATTGCTCCTTTGCAACTAAAGATGCTGTTATGGACCATCTGAGCAACTCCCCCTTCTCTAAAACTCCCTTTTCTGCAGTCTCCCATCACCACAGGCATAGAGCAGCGTAGCTGTCAGTACCGTGTCACTCCACTAGCTTCATTCACAGACACATCCCATGCTGTCCCCTCCTCTCAATCATAACCAGTTATAAACACACTTTGTGGGCATCTTGTCTTCACAGAAGCATTTGCCTGAGCCGTGACTTGAGTTTTGCCTCTAACCAAGCTCCAGTCCACTCATACAAAGCCTCCGGCTCAAGATACGATGTTGCTGGAAGCTTGCACTGTTGGTCACTCAGCTGGGGAGGTGATAAAGAGGTGAGAACGGAAAGGTTTAAGGCAAGCTCTAGCTACATACCCGCTATCAGCGACCGAGCACACGATAACCCAGTAACCCCAGCAGCGTGCACACATCCAGGCGGGACGCTGGACCAAGAGCAGACGGGCAGCTGTGAGCTCTCTGCAGGCTGGCCGAGACACACGCTGGGGACCAGACCGGCCAGGCACGGTGGCCAGCGGCCAGGGAAGGCTGGGTTTGGCCGTCCCTGCAGGCTGCTCCAGCTGAATGGAAGCTAACGTGGGTGTGCACTCTCACAGGAACCTGCACAGCAGTTGTGCACCTGTGACAGCCTGTGCAAAGCCTGGTTTAATCATCAGTTAAGTCTGCGTATGCTTATAGGTCAGAAATACGGTCAACTAATTTCACGCAGGAAAACTTGAGGGTGAAATCTCAAGCCAATTGTCACCCCAAAGGCCTGATACTCAGTAGTCTTTGCGGCCAGTGGCAACGTCTACAGGGGAACAGAGAAGTGCTGTCATTTGTAAGTCCTGCCTTGTATACACCTCATCTCTCACACGGGGCATATTCCCTCTTTTACTATAGATATACATCATACAGTACACATAAATCCCCACAATAATCATAAAACACATCTGAAAAAGCTTTTCAGCATGAATAATGCACATTTATAACACCATTGATGTTACAAAAGCCAAAAGAGTTAGCTCTGCTTAGATGATCAAACCATTTTGAGATAATGCTTTGGGTCATTAAAAATTCATTCCAGCCTATGAAATACCAGAAAGTATAGGTTTTCCCTTTAACACATTTCTGACAATGTGGAATTTCCTCACTCAATGGCAACTGAAGCACCCTAAAAGTGCTCAGCTCTCACTGGTTTTGTAAATGACTAACTCCTCCACAAGCCTCACAACTATCTGCCTCGGGTATTTCATAGCAACCCGCTCCCACCGCAACTACCCCGTGGATCTAAAGCAGTATTTATGCAAGTCCTACAGATTAAAAAGTTTAAAGATTTAATTTCAATCAAAAGTCTCCGGTAAAAAACCTCAGCTAAATAGACTGTTATCATAAACCAATTATGTGCTACAATTTGGTACTTAATTGCTACCAAAAAATCAATTCTCCTTTCTGTGTGCTTCTCGTTCTCATCCACCAGTGTTTGTCGTTACATTTAAGTTGGGGAACCTCTGTCAAATTGGTAGTGAACGAAAGACTGAAATTTGTAAAGGAGTCATCTCCAAAAGGTGGCTTCTACAAAGACATTAGTACCAACAGGAATTCAAACACACTTGTACCAGGCATAAGTCATGAAGCAGCTGTGAGTTTCAGGAAATATCCCACAATTAACTGAGGTTTGTTTTAATTTGGGAAGGAAAAGAAGGCTCACACATCCTAAAACCAAGCTGTCTGTTAATAAATCCTGATTGCAATCACGGTAGAAACCACTGATGCATAGCATGCATAAACCAGGAAGGTTTCACTTCAAAGCCCAGAGGTATGTTTATTTGCTGGGGCGGCAATGGGGGAAAAGGCCAAGGGGTTTTGGTGGTGGTGTTTGAGGAGTGGTGTTCTTTATATTGTTCTTCAAAACAAAACAAAATCTTATTTTATCTGATTGCTTATTTTTGGGATGATCATTTTACCTTTTTGGGTAAGTATACAAACTTAAAATCAATTGGTCATCTTCATTTGGTTTAAAAACTGACATGTTTTGGTTATGAAATGCCTCCAGTGCATACCTGGGGGTGATTTTCATCCCAATTTCACAAATAAGTTCACTGAGGCTCAGAGAAGTTAACCTCTTCACATGGAGCAAAATCCAACACACTAATAAAAGATACAGATCCTCTCTGCTCTTTCAATGAGACCATAGCATTTGTTGTTGTAACCTTTCAGAAGAGTACAGTACATAGTCCCCTATTTTAACTTCAAAATTACCGTTAGAGAGAACTGCAGGCTTGCTCTTAACCAATACGACCATTATTGCGATACACACTCCCAAAGGAAGTGGTATAGAGCTTGTTTGCTGGGACAGTTAAAATTATACCAGTGCTTATGAATATCTACTAAGGAACTCTCTACCGTCTGGGAATAAAGCAGGCTGCTCATGTAAAATTCTGTGAGCTTGTAATATTCTAATCAACAGACATGGTAGCAATTAAAGAGGATAGATTTAATATGAGATAGATGGACAAATTAATTGACATTTTAAGAAAAAGATCCCGTTCACAAATGCTGGGATCTGTTTGAAAACTGTACTCATAATTGAGTCATGAATCAAATTATAAGTATTGAAAAACTTCTGCCTCTATTGCTAGAGGCACTAGTTCAAGTCAAATTATTGTAACTTCTCTAATTTTTCAGAGAAAAGCTAAGACCAGAAAGGAGATCAAGTGCCCCCGTCCCTCTCTAAAGAAAATCCCTGTTATGCTGCAGGAACTAGAGTACTTCTCCATTATTGCACAGATGGGGTAAGATAAGGCAAAGGAAACCAGTTGTTCATTCTGACATCGATGAGAACGATAAAGCTGCTTCCTTCAACAGCTTCAAACTTCTCCAACAAGGACACAATTTACTGTATCCCATTTACGGCTCACACAAAGAACCAGCACACAGGTAACAGGAGGGGATATAAGGGGCAGCTAACTGGTGCCAGCAGAGTCTTGTCTCCCCCGACACAAGCCACAGCTGCATTGGAGCTCTGCCATTCTCTCACTTATACCACAGCTACATTTATGTTTTCAACATACATCTCTTCCTGTCATAGATATGAACTCCATTAAAAATTACTTGGTACACTAAAAAACTGAAGGAATCCCTGAAGACTTCTTGCAAAGGTGGTGTGACTGACTTCAGCACCGAACACCTGAAATGACTTAGGCTAGCTAGCCCAGGGCTGACGGAAACTCCCGCAGGCTGGTTCACTCAGCTTCTTGGGCAGCTTGCTAGCGAACCACGCTCCTGGGCTGGACTCACAGCAGTGCCCTGGCTTGGGAATTTCAGACAGACCTCTGAACCACACCACTGCACATATTTCAAGCTCCACACAGTAACTTGATTATATGCAGTAGGGTTGTCAAGTAAATAACAGCCTTATTCTACTAAATTCACTCTACACCCTGCCAATGTGCTACTTTCTAGTAACATTGCCATGTGAATGTTCATCAGGTGCTCCGAGGGAGCAATTTTTAATACGACGATTGTGAGTCCATACAACTTGTCACCTCCATCACCCAGGACTGCTTCTGTAGCCAGACCTAATTTTCACTCCATTCTTCCCTCCACCTGAAACAAACTTCAGAGTACTTTGCCAGATCACTGGGGCATGAACCATCTTTTTGTGCCATTTTTGAATAGTACCCATGCCAGCAGGGTGCTCATCTGGGAAGGGGACACACAAGACATTGGAAAAGTATAATTTAGGGATAGAAGGTTTGTAACTGAAAAGAACATGAACGTGGTGAAAGTACCTGCTTCTCCTAGTGACGCTGCATCTCCTAAAACGACGAGAAGTTAAACCACGTTCTAATCACTGAAGCAAATCTAAAATTTTGGAATGCTTTACTAGGAATTTGATTGGTCTAGGTATTTACTGTAACAAACTAAATTCATGTTGTTTGCATTAATTTAACCTTTAAGATATCATAAGGAGAATGACAAATGAGATTACCTAAAAGAAAATATCCTTGTTAAGCTTTTAGAGTTCACCCTACAGGGAAGTGTTAAGACCTCATTGTTGGGAGTTTGTATTAAGATGATTTCCTAATTTCCTCAGGCCAGATAACAAGGTTACTTCTGGAGCAGACTATGACATTTTAAGTAATGAACATTATCATCTAATAGATAAACATGATCTTTGTTATCATGCAGTGACTGTTTGGATGGATTTTACGTACAAGAATTTGAAGCCTGCTTGAATTGAGTTTAGCACTATTTGCCATTTCTAACATTTTATGATGCAAATTTCTTAGGGTAAGACTGAGCAGAAAATGCCTAAACCATTATCAGCTATAAGATACACAGCATGAAAATACTAGAAATCCTGTGGGGGTCAGGAAGCTGGACTTGAGCTTTGCCGAAGATGGGCATTGCCATTCTTTCTGGTCATTACTCCAGCCTCCCTTTGCCACCACACACAGGCTGCTTAACTCTTCTTGAATACTCAGACTTTCCCTGAATAAGGCCCTAATGGAAAAAGTCTCCAGGTATTTACTCTGTATTTACAGAATATATTTGCATGTAAGTGTATTTGTACACAGGGTGTAACTAATTCTGTGTTGTCTTCCTACATGTGATTTAGAATCACGGCTTTATCCCCACTGATGGAACTATCTTTGAGATACAAAGCATGCATGGATAGCCCAAACCATTTAAAAGACTTTCTTCCGTAGATTAAGATTGGTGGCACAGTAATGATATTTGTCTGAATTTTATAAAGACAGGATGTTTGATGATCTGTAGGCAGATCAATCCTTTTTATTTTTCCTATTGTTTGATCTGTGTGCTATTTTTACAGGTACTATGAACTAATGTAAGCATTCTGTCACTGGAGATACAGAGCAACAATATAAGAATAATGTTTCTGAATTAGTGGGGTTTTTCTGCAATGTAAATTTAGTTGTGGTCATACTGTACAATCAGCAAAGAATGATTTTTTGAGACAATAGCCTAACAATATTTTTTAGAAGTTCAGCAAAATGCCTCAGCAGAGACCAAATTATCACAGAAATCACTTAATGTCATCAATAATGATGTTTTGAAATGGGATGCATCTTCACACACACTTTTTCATCACACTGCCCAAATCTGTCTTGCTTCCCAGTGCAATGCACATCTACTATGTTTAATCTGTGCTACCTGCATTTTACAACTATGTTCTACAGGTGTAAATGATTTCACAAGATACAAGACCCTATACAAGTAAGAGATGCTGAGTGCATCTGGAAAGAGCAGCTTTACTGCAACCTGTATTTTCTGTAAAACAAGAGAGGTGGTGAAACTGCAAATTCTCCTGCTACACACAAGATATCTGTATCCTTACTCAGGCAAAACTAAACAGACCTTTTGCCTAGAGACTTGATTCCGAGAATATCTGAAACACCTGAAAAAACACAGCAGAAGCCCAGCATTTCATATCCCCTCATAAATGTCGGTGAAACCATCACAGGCTCCTTACTTTTTCCTTTCATTTTCTAGTATCCTGAATAGATCTTTGAAGTACTGGGGAACACGGACAATCACATTTTCTGAAGGACCTATATCTTTGAGCTCAGGATAGAGTCTGGTGTCAATCACCTTCCTGATGTATCCCAGCCAGTCAAACTGCAATGACAAAGAGAAGGCTGGTTAAAGGAGACTATGAAGAGAGATGATTTATTAACTAAGTTACACCTTTGAGATTAATGGTTTCAAAGCTTTACTTATTAAAAATTTAGAAACTATTACACTTGTCATCACACATGTTTTCAAACCTCAGTAAAGTCATTACTGTATTTAAAAGAACATATATTGCAATTGAGTACACATTCCTAATGACATTGCTTTAACATGCTGCTCTGCGCACTAAAGGTGATTTTAATTATATAAATCAGATGTTAAAAGAATAATTTTGCAATTATCCCCAACCAACCTGTGGAATCATGGCACTAAGCTCCGATATGTTCATTTTATTGTACATCACCTCACTTGTTCGATTTTCGTATGGAATCATGATCTGGGGAAAAAAAATATCAAAACAAGCATTATCTTGCAGGGAACTGATCTTACATCATTACTGTCCATCATAATCCCAGTGCAGAAATATCTCACCACCTGTTTTCCAAGCATTCATGGCATTAACTTCCCTTTCTGAAGATGGCATTTGACTAGGAGAAATGGAACACAGTTCATTGTCAGTTTAACTCATTACCCAGGAATTTAATGAGCTGCATGTCTTCTTTGAATGTATTGGACCAATTTTAGCTCTCATACTAAGGAAACACGTGTTGATTGTTAAGAGATAAAAGCACACCTAGACCATTAATACTTATTCATCCCATCATGTCAGGTAGAAGCCAGCTCCAAACTAAATGGTTTAAAAAAAAAAATTGAGATAAGATGTGCTTCCAGCATACCTATCTCTTGGATTTGAACATGTTCTTGCTATGGCCTGACTCCATCTGAAGGAAGAGCCAGATACACACAAGTTTCTCCTCATTTTACCCCACCAGCCTGATTTCCTTAGCAGGAAACCTGGGTATATAGGCCGGACATGAATTAAAGCATTCTCCAATCAAGCCTCTCATCCAGGTGACCAGAGAGGCACACCTCAGGATCCTCTGTAGTGTCAAAATCCAAGGACATAGCAAAAGAAATCCTAAATATAAAGCAAGTTCTTTTATAACTGACAAGGGACATTCAGATTTCAAGATGGCAGTATGGTTCACAATAAAAAAACAAACCAAGTACAAGATATAGCTCAAAATTTTCTCAGTGTTCAAGAGAAACAAGAACTCCCAATGGCAATTCCAGTCTTGCTCTAAGGCAAGTCCTATACAACAGACTGTACGCTGTGCAGTTTAAAGAGGACAGAGATTGACGCCAGACTAACCGGACAGCTGGCAGCTCTCCAACCAAAATTCTCCAGTAAGTGTCTGTGGTTTTACTATTGCTCAAGCCACACAGAAAAAAAACCCACCTACTTTCTTCTCCCTTTCTGCAAATTTCATTTATCTGACAGATCTTTAACCTCTTCTTGAACCCTCACTTCCTCTCAAAACTTTCCCTCTTCCTCCAGTAATTCAAACCTAATTGAAATCTTCCTTGTACACAACAAGCTCCCTCGCAGCATGCCACTCTTTCCTATATCCAAGGCATCCTCCCTTTATTTTTGCTGTTTCTTCCCGAGTACACAAGTTCTCCATTATATACTCTCACTTAAAATGAATGCAGAGGAACACTGGATACAGCAAAACCTTAAGTAACAAACAGGACTATCGCCTTTGAAATCAGAGTTTACATAAATCATTGTGCTTGTTAGGGATTAGCAACAATTCAGGTCCCTGGACCCATGCCTAATATCTGGATATATTTTAGGAGCATTACTCACACTAAAGGGAAATTAGGTAACCACGAGTAACTATGGCTTGTTGTGTAACAGTATGCATTACCGATCCCAAGAGTTGTTACAGGATCAATGTCAACTTATATGGCAACTTCACCTATATACTTTGTAGATTAAAGTTCTGTAAGACATTCGTTAAGTAAAGCATTAGAGCTACCAGAGGTAGTGATGCATCTTCTTATCACATCACAGATAAACAGAAGAAACATTTTCCGTTTTTCAAGTCTACAGGGTCACAATGAAGTATCTACCCATTAGTCCATCCATGCTACGTAACTGAAGCTGAATATTGGGCTTTATTTCGAGGTCCGACAAAATTTCATCTCTTTCAGCAGAGAGATGGAAATACTGATTTCCTACTGTTGTGGATGGCCCTTAATTCTTCACACACACACCATTAAGAAGCATCACTGCCTTTCCTCCTGTACACTGCAACAGCAGAAGCCAGGGAAAAGTCATCTGCTGCATTACCTGTCCTGTGCAACAGGCTTCTCTGTTAACAGGAGACCCATCATTTCACAGGGGATAGCTTCTTTCCTCAGTGATATGAAGAAATACTCAGCTCAGCTAGCAGTTCTGCTAATCAGTGTCAAGTTTGTAGCCCTAACTTTTGCTGGTTTCTCAACATTGAGTTTAACTCTTCTCTCCACCTTTAGACAAGTGGAAGTCATAGTGGACTTGCAGCTCCCAGCAGCAGGATTCCTGCAGCAGCCATACTAAAACAGGGATATGGAGAAGCAGAAACGCTCCTTCAGCCTGCCACAGTCCTAACGCAAAAGTTAAACTCCACAAGTGGGCAAAAACGTCACGAAGTAAATCGGTCAGAACTGAGTACCAGATGTAAATCTGCTTAGATTTACCAAATTCAGTTGGCCCCTTAAATTAAAACTCATGGAAAAGACCTTTAAAATCATCAAGTCCAACCATTAACCCAGCACTGCCAAGTCCACCACTAAACCATGTCCCTAAGTGCCACATCTACATGTCCCCCAGGCATGGTGACTCCACCACTTCCCTGAGCAGCCTGTTCTAGCACCTGACAACCCTTTCAGTGAATAAATTTTTCCTAATATCCAATCTAAATCTCCCCTGGCACAACTTGAGGCCATTTCCTCTTCTCCTGTCACTTGTTACCTGGGAGAAGAGACCGACCCCCACTTGGCTAGCCCCTCCTTTCAGTTTGTTGTAGAGAGCGATCAGGTCTCCCCTCAGCCTCCTCTTCTCCAGACCAAACACCCCCAGCTCCCTCAGCCGCTCCCCATCAGACTTGTGCTCCAGACCCTTCACCAGCTTCATTGCCCTTCTCTGGACTTGCTCCAGCACCTCAAGGGCTTTCTTGTGGTGAGGGGCCCAGAACTGAACACAGCACTCGAGGTGCGGCCTCACCAGCACTGAGTACAGGGGGC